GAGGATTAAAAAAAAAAAAAAGTTTTCCTCCTCTTATGTGGAAACCGGTTTGGCTCAGTGGATGGAGCATCGGCCTGTGGACTGAGGGGTCCCAGGTTCGATTCAGGTCAGGGGCATGTACCTTGGTTGCGGCACATCCCCAGTAGGGGGTGTGCAAGAGGCAGCTGATTGATGACTCTCTCATTGATGTTTCTAACTCTCTATCCCTCTCTTTTCCTATCTGTAAGGAATCAATGAAATATATTTAAAAAGAAAAAAGAAAACAAGAAAACATCAAGAGTAGACTAGAAGAAGCAGAAGACCGCATCAGTGAGCTAGAAGACAAGATGGAAAAAAATACCCAATTAGAGCAGCTTCTAGAAAAAAAAAATTTAAAAAGCAGGAGGAGAGCCTAAGTGAACTTTGGGACAATACAAAACAAAACAATATTAGAGTAATAAGGGGTTCCAGAAGGAAAGGGAACTGAGGAAGACATAGAAAACTTATTTCAAGAAATGACAGAAAACTTTCCTGAGATAAAGAAAAAACCAAACAAATCCAAGAAGCTCACAGAGTCCCAAACAAAATGAATCCGAAAAGACTGAGGCCAAGGCACATTATAATCAAATTGGCAATGATAAAAAATCTTAAAAGCAGCCAGAGACAGAAAGTTACAAATAAAGCAACCCCCATCAGACTAGCAACTGATTTCTCAACAGAAACTCATCAGGTCAGAAGGGAATGTAATGTAATATACAAAGTCATGCATAGGAAGGGTCTGAATCCAAGAATACTATACTCAGCAAGACTATCAATCAAAATTGAAGGTGAAATCAGGAGCTTCACAGACAAAAAAAAAAAAAAAAAAAAAAAGACTAAGGGAATTTATCACTACCAAACCAGCAATGCAAGAAATGCTAAAGGGTCTGCTGTAAAAATAAAAAAGAAACAGGAAGCAAAGAAGGAACACAGCGTTATAGAATAAAAATGGCGACAAATAAGTACCTATCAATAATAACCTTAAATGTAAATGGATTAAATGCTCCAATCAAAAGACATAGGTAATGGATTGGATAAGAAAACAAGACCTATATATCTGCTGTCTACAAGAAACCCATTTCAGAAAAAAAGATGCACACAGACTGAGGTGAAGGGATGAAAAAAGGTTTTCCAGGCAAATGGAAATGAAAAAGAAGCTGGGGTAGTAATACTTATATCTGACAAATTAGAACTCAGAGTGAAGGACATAAGAGATAATGAAGGCCACTTCATAATATAATACTAAAGGGAGCAATCCAACAAGAAATAATGCTGGTAAACATATATGCACCTAATACAGGAGCACCCAAATACATAAAAAAAAATTGCTGGAGGACATTAAGGGAGAGATTAATAGCAATACAATCATAGTAGGAGATTTTATTGTAATACCCCACTGTCACCTTTGGACAAATCATCTAAACAAAAAATCAGCAAAGAAACATCAATCCTAAATGACTCACTAGACCAGATGGAATTAATTGACATCTTTAGAACATTTCATCCCAAAGCCACAGAATATACATTCTTCTGAAGTGCACATGGGTCATTTTCAAAGATAGACCACACAGGCAGTCTCAAGAAGATAGAAATCATATCAAGCATCTTCTCAGATCATTGTGGCATAAAACTGGAAATCAACTAATAAAAATAATCCAAAGAAATCAAACACATGGAGACTAAACAGCATGCTATTAAACAATGACTGGGTTGCCAGAGAAATCAAGGAAAAAATAAAAAACATCCTGGCAACAAACAACAATGAAAACACAACAATCCAAAATCTATGGGACACATCAAAAGCAGTCTTGAGAGGGAAATTCATAACTCTACAAGCCTACTGCAAAAAAAAAAAAAAAAAAAAGGTAATAAATTATTTAACTCTACAACTCAAAGAGTTAGAAAAAGAGCAACAAGAAAAGCCCTGTGTAAGCAGAAGGAAGGAAATAATAAAAATCAGAGCAGAGATAAATGACATAGAGACCAAAGAAACAATACAAAAGATCAACAAAACCAAGAGCTGGTTCTTTGAAAGAATAAACAAGATTGATGGACCTCTAGCCAGGCTAACCAAGAAACAAAGAGAGAGGACCCAAATAAACAAAATCAGAAATGGAAGAGGTGAAATAACAACAGACCCAGCTGAAATACAAAGGATTGTTACAAAATACTACAAACAACTCTATTCCAACAAACTGGACAACCTGAGGAAAAGGACATATTCCTAAAAAAATGTAACCTTCCAAAACTCAATCAGGAAGAATCTAAAAATCTCAATGGGCCAGTAACTTTGGAAGAAATTGAAGCAGTCATCAAAAAGCTTCCAGCCAACAAAAGCCCAGGGCCAGATGGCTTCACAAGAGAGTTTTACCAAACATTCAAGGAAGAACTAAAACCTATCCTCCTCAAACTATTCCAAAAAATCCAAGAGTAAGGAACACTTCCAAGCTTTTTTTTTGAAGCCAGCATTACCCTAATAACAAAACCAGATAAAGATAACACAATGAAAGAGAATTACAGGCCAATATCCCTCATGAACATAGATGCTAAAATCCTCAACAAAATTCTAGCAAATCGGCTGCAGCAGCACATCAGAAAGATCATACACCACGACCAAGTAGGATTTATTCCGGGAATGCAAGGATGGTACAATATCCACAAATCAATAAATGTGATACATCACATAAACAAATTGAGAGATAAAAATCATTTAGTCATATCAATCGATGCAGAAAAAACATTTGATAAAATCCAACACTCTTTCCTGATAAAAACTCTCAAGGTGGGAATAGAAGGATCATACCTCAACATAATAAAAGCTATATATGATAAACCCACAGCAAACATCATACTCAATCAGCAAAAACTAAAACCATTCCCTCTAAGAACAGGAACAAGACAGGGATGCCCAGTCTCACCAATCCTGTTTGACATAGTACTGGAAATATAATACTAGCCATTGTGATTAGACAAGAAGAAATAAAAGGCATCCAAATTGGAAAAGTAAAACTGTCCTTATTTGCAGATGACATGATACTAAAAACTCTAAAGACTCCATCAAAAAACTAATTGACTTAATAAATGAATTTGGCAATGTAGCAGGACACAAAATTAACGCCAATAAATCTATGGTATTTCTATACATCAATAGTGAACTTACAGAAACAGAGACCAAAAAAGCAATCCCATTTACCATAGCACCAAAAAAATTAAGATACCTAGGAATAAACTTAACTAAGGAGGTAAAAGACCTATACGCAGAAAACTACATGACACTGAAAAAAGAGAGGAAGATGTAAACAGATGAAAGAACATACCATGTTCATGGATTGGTAGAATCAACATAATCAAAATGGCCATACTTCCCAAAGCTATTTATAGATTCAATGCACTCCCCATTAAAATACCAACGGCATACTTCACAGACCTAGAAAGAACTCTCCAAAAATTCATCTGGAACAAAAAAAGACCCTGTATAGCCACAGCAATCCTGAGAAAGAAGGGTAAAGTAGGAGGGATCTCAATACCAGATTTCAAGCTGTATTACAAAGCCACTGTTCTCAAAACAGCCTGGTACTGGCACAAGAACAGACATATAGATCAATGGAATAGAATAGGGAATCCAGATATCTACTCAAACCTCTACACTCAATTACAATAATATTTGACAAAGGAGGCATGAACATACAATGGAGTCAAGACAATCTCTTCAATAAATGATACTGGGAAAATTGGACAGATACATGCAAAAAAAATGAAACTAGATCACCAACTTACACCATACACAAAAATAAACTCAAAATGGATACAGGACATAAACATAAGACAGGAAACAATAAAAATACTAGAGGAATCCACAGGCAGCAAAATCTCAGACATATGCCAAAAGAACTTCTTCACTGATACTGCCCCTAGGGCAATGGAAGCTAAAGAGAAAATAAACAAATGGGACTACATCAAAATAAAAAGCTTTTTTACAGCAAAAGAAACCATCAACAAAACAAGAAAGCCCACTGCATGGAAGAACATATTTGCATGTTATCACTGATAGTTTTAATCTCCAACATCAACAGACAGCTTATACAATTTAATAAAAGGAAGATAACTAATCCAATTAAAAAAATGGGCAACGGACCTAAATTGAATCTTTTCAAAAGAAGACAGAAGGAAGGCCAAGAGGCACATGAAAACATGCTCAAAGTCACTAATTATCCAAGAGATGCAAATCAAAACAACAATGCAGTATCATCTCACACCTGTTAAAATGGCTATCATCAACAAATCAACCTACACGTGCTGGCAAGGATACGGAGAAAAAGGAACCCTCGTGCACTGCTGGTGGGAATGCAGGCTGGTGCAACCACTGTGGAGAACAATATGAAGTTTCCAATTGACCCAGTAATCCCACTCCTAGGAACAATATGGAGTTTCCAACTGACCCAGTAATCCCACTCCTAGGAATATATCCTAAGAAACTAGAAACACCAATCAGAAAGGATATATGCACCCCTATGTTCATAGCAGCACAATCTACAATAGCTAGGATTTGGAAACAGCCTAGGTGCCCATCAGAAGATGATTGGATCCAAAAACCATGGTACATCTACACAATGGAATACTATGCTGCCATAAAAAAGGAATTCTCATCATTTGCAGCAACCTGGATGGAATTGGAGAACATCATGGTGAGTGAAATAAGCCAGTCAATGAAAGAGAAACACCACATGACCTTACTCATGGATAATAAAGATTATAAACTGATAACCAAAAAGATAGAGCAACAGACTGTCCAATTATAGCGGTAGGGTAGGGAGATAAGAGATCAACCAAAGGATTTGTATGCATGCAGATAAGCATAACCAGCAGACGCAAAACTCTGGGGAGGGTGGGCATGTATGGGAGTGTGGGGAGGGGCAATGGTAAGATATGTACACATATACCTTAATAAAAAAATGGAAGTTTTGTGTACTCACAACTGTAAAACTACTTTCCCCCTCACTGTACCTAAGTATTTCTTTGGGGGCAGGGTTATCTTATTTAGTTCTGTCTTGCATTTCTCACTTAGTTCTTCCTCAGTGTTTTGTAGTTCTTAGCACACAAATGACACTCACTAGGTTTACTCCTAAGTAAGTTTTGTGGGCATGTTTGTGTTACTGAAACACCTGATAAGTTCTGGGAAGTGATGACACCTTGTAGACATATTTTCTTTCCAAATGATTCTTGGGTTGGTTTAGGCTATAAAAATTGACCAAGTGCTCTCGCTTGTTTGGCTCAGCTTGCAGACTGAAGGGTCCTGGGTTCAATTCCAGTCAAGGGCATGAATCTTGGTTGCAGGCTCAATCCCCAGTGGGTTTGAGGAGGCAGCTGATCAATGTTTCTTACTTTCTATCCCTATCCCTTCCTCTCAAAATAAAATAAAATAAAATAAAATAAAATATATTTAAAAATAAATAATAAAAATTGACCAAGTGAGAAGTGGGTGCTGCAGTGTCTAGCTGGGCTGGATGAAGGCATCAGATTTTACTCAACAGGCTCCACCCTGCCTCAGCTGGACAGGAATCATTGCAACGCAGGTTCCTGCTGAAGAATGCACACACACACACACACACACACAGCTGGAGTTCCAGTGGGCTTTATTGAGATAAATTAACAAAAGCAAAGATTTTTATCAACCATCTTTTCTGAACTTTATAACCTCAACAGAGACTCTGGTCCACATGTGCATCTACAATGTAACGCCCAACAAAAAGGAAGCCCCACTGGAACATTTGCCAATTAACAGAAAGCCAATCGTCCCTTCCCCCAAATGTTTGCAAAGTTTTGAGTCCCCACTGTTCACTTCTCAGTGGAACTGGTCCCTTGTGGCTAGGGACAGTGAAATTATACCCCATTTTCATTGAACAAAAATTTTCAGGTTTTACTTTTGTTTCAAAAAGGGAATAGTGACTTTGTTTCCTCCAGGCACCCCTCCCCCACAACCACTGGTTAAACACAGTAGCTTGTATCCTCATATCCCACCCCTCCCCTCCCCTGCCCAGCATTGCCTGCGAGAACTTAAACACATTTCCTGTTGGAGCCTGTCAGCTGCGGAGGGGCAGAGTCCAGTGCAGGCTGGCTCCTGCGGACCTCATCAGCTGTCACGGCCTTTGAACCCTTAACTCTTTACCCCAGAGATGAGTTTTTAGATCAGGAGACTTTTTTTTTTTTTTGATTTTTAAAAACTATCTTTAAGGATATACAGAACCACAAGCTCACTCAAGTTCACCAAGTTGACTAATGTCAACTCCCACGAGGCCAATTATTGTTTGACAAAGATAATTGCCAGAAAATGATTCCACAGTAACAATTTTTAAGATACATACAATGCTGAACAAAGTGGCAAATTAAAATAACATGGCTTAATTCCCAAGAATTTATTTCATCTTCGTGTTACTCATCTAGAAGGGCAGAGTGTGGCTAAAGGCAATGTCTGTGGCTATGAGCTTCAAAGTGTTTCTAAATCCTCCTTGCGGACACCCTCCCCTTGGGGCAGTCACCTCCCTCCCACCCCTATAAAAAAAAAAGAAAAAAAATTAAGCCAAGTGATCAGAATGAGATGTTTGATTCCAACAAAGGACACTCCCGGCTTTGTGCTGAGTCGTCTGGTTCTAACCCAAGCATGATGGTATCGAACACAAAGCACACGGCAAAGGAAAGATGCTCCCATCTCATTCTGAAAACAAGTATTGATAACCACCCTCCCCCCACCCCCCCCTTTGGGGCCAACCCTTACTATGGTGCAGGGCAAACTTGAAAATTTAGAGACGAATTTAGGTTTTTCTCTCTCCTGTACTTCTTCCCACGGAAGATCATTTTGGAATTTAGTCCGATCCTAAAGGAAAGGCAAGTCTCTCCATGTATGGGGAGAGACAAAACGGCCCAGAGGCAGCCATAACCGCAGGCTGGACAATGGGCTGAGGTTATGTAAATATTTAGAGGGAATAGTTTTCATCCAAGTGAATGAACCACTGGAAAAATATCACCATTACTTAAACACCCTACACAGGAAGAACACGAAAACGATTCCCAATAGTAACAAATGCTCCTTATTGTGAAGGGGATTTAAAAAGAGAGACTAGGATTTCACCTAGTCCTTAGAGCAGCGGTCGCCAACTTTCGGACCTCACGGACCACCAGCGGTCCGCGGGCCACCGGCTGGCGACCGCTGTCTTAGAGCATCTTTCCATTTTACAATTCCTATTCAAGAGTCAAGCACCAAAACTGGACAGCGCCTGTACAAGACCGCGTCCAGTCCTGGTGTCCCAGACAGTTAAGTGCCACCCCTCATCCGAGGCTGTACTCAGTAATACTTTCAACTTAAAGTCTGTGCTTTAAGAGGGACCCACAGGCACGTGGCACCAAGCAGACAGTCTGAGGATGGCAGAGAGGACTGTGCTGTTTATAATCACTCGCACTCTAGCGAGATATAAAACTGCATTTATTAGCTTTCTTGCTTTTCTTCTAGAATGATCCCTCTTATCTTGCCAGAGATGGGGGAGAGAGTGCTGCATCAGTACACAGTAAGATATATTTTTTTGGTCAAAAGTTGATGCCTTTTAAAATTCCCTCCCTTTTCTCCTCCCTGGAAAGTTACTCCCTTAAGCAGGGCTTGTACTTAGTTGCCAACACTGGCTGCAGAAGAGCCCGTGGCGTGGACACCCAATGAACGAGCTTGTTGGGGCTTGTACTGTGCAGCTCTTGCTAGTTGTGAAGAGATTAGGGCTGTCTCATCAGGAGGCATCTGTAGGATTTTGATCTTCAAGGAATTTTGGGTGAGTCACAAATCATTTTTGTTTAGAACTACACAGAGTCAACAAAGCAACTTTGAATAACTGATTTCTTTATCCAGATGAGTTAAGCATGAAAACATAGGAAGGACTTGTACTATTTTAGGGCTTTGAAAAACAATGGAATATGGGGGGGAAAAATTATTTTGCCTTTTTTTTTTTTTAACCCTAGATGCCTCCTGATTGACCTAGTACACTGGGTTAAAGGGGAATTAAAAATGTTTTTTTAAAAAAAGTTCACTGGTTTTGATTCATCCCACTCCTTTTGCCTGGAGATCAGGCCAAACATCAAGCATGTTGGGAGGGGCACAATTTAATGCAACACTATTGACTGTAAAGCACTGCCAGCGATTTACACTGCGAACAGGACAGTTCTCGTCACAAAGCTAGCGGAGGGCAGGCAGCAGCTCTCAGGGTTGCCATCCCTGCAAGTTTACGTGTCCAAGTGGGCAGAGGGCAACAGCACAGGAAGTGACCCACGGAAACGGAGCCCAGAACTGCTAACCTCCCCGGAGCTGGTAATGGCTAATATTGTGCAAGGCAAACCCACGCTTTATACATCCATTGCTCAATCACTGCCGCTCAAGGGAGTTCCTGCACTGCGATGCACATTCTTTGTCCCCTTTTGCAGAGCTTAAAAAGTTTCTCAAACTTTTAAAAAGGGGGAAAAAAGCACAATCAGAGTCTTTCAAAGCTGGACGGGTGTTTGAAGTTTCCTTGCTCCCTCGGCAGGCCTCCTCTAAAGACGCCAGAGACAGTGTGGCAGCCGCAGTGAAGACTCCGGGGCCCTTTCTCAGCACAGGGTCCCCACAGGAGTCTGCTCGCTACAGTAAGAGGTCAAAGTACTTTCTAGAATTTAGTGTTGCGGAAAACTGAGCCCCTCTCATCTTAGCTGCTCCCATAATCACTCTAATCCCCTTAATCCCAGCAACCTTCATAAAAAAAAAAGATATATATATATGTATGTATATATATATGTATGTATATATATATATACACATATATATGAACGCAGAAAAAAACGTATTTACAAAGTTTATACAAGTGTACACACCCAGTTTTCTATGGGACACGCTCTGCCACAGAGGAAAGAGGTCAAGGCCGACAGGCTACGCCTCAGTGCCCTAGCTGCGCATGGAGAGCACGTGACCAGTCTCAGGGTTCCAGAGCACAGAGGCTAGCTGTATGGCTCCTGCGGCGACAGACGCTCTTTCCTTTGGGAGCAGTGATGTTGCATCTACTCAGCCCAGAAGAAACTTTTGCTTGGGATTGTGTGGTTGTTTCTTAAATACATGTATTTACAGTGCGGATGAACTGCAGTTGCATATCAACTCCTCCACTTAAAGAAAAAAAATGGTGCTTAACATTACTAATAGGCTTCATCCTTCAGCCCTGGGCTTGAGTACTGGGTCGAAAGGGAAAAGAGACTCCAAAGTGAAACCAAAATGAAATAAAACGTTTTAAAAGAAAAAGAAAAAGAAAAAAAGGAAAGAATTACTATTGTTGATTCCTTGGGCTGTGTCTAGAAGATGATATTCTGAATGGTCTCATAGCATAAGGCACTTCGCACAAATAAGTAATAAGCTCTTCAGGCTTAAAAAACGGATGAGTCATCAGGGAGAAGTTGAAATGCACAAGAGTCAGCTGTTGGAGAATTCGGAAATAATAGACAAGCTTGTGTGTTCATCAAGATTCTTCTCTTTTTAGGGTTTCTCCCTTCTCTTCTTTCTCCTCCTTCCTTGTCCCCCTTTCCCCAGAAAACATTTTTAAAAATCCAGCAGTTAGTGCAACTAATGTTCAGTCAGCACACAGTGCAAACAAGTGGAACAAAAAAGGCAAATTCCTTCTTTTCAGCTTTTTTCTCTTCACCAGTTAAAAAAGAAAAAAATGTCTGAGTTCTTTTAAGTCTTCATAGTTCCAAAATAAAAGATGAAAAACCCACAAAGAGAAGAGCATCCCCCCCAAATGATGTGTCACAGATCCAAGCAAGCCTTCTTCAGTTTGTTAAAGCCTAAGAAAGAAGAAACCTAAAATTAACATCTGTGAAAACAATATGAACTAGGGTGTACAGGTTTTTACATCCCATTCCAAATACTCTCTCTGTAATAGCATCTACTCAGCTCTTAGCTACTGCAGAGTCCTTGCAGGATTAAGGAATGTCTGCCAGGCATTCCAGAGGCAGAATGAGAGCCTGATAATTTTGGCCTCAGCCAGCAATCATTCACAACACATAAAGCAACCTTACACAAACATAATAAATAGCTTGCCAATATACTAACAGTGGCTAGTTTTATGTTTAAGGTTTGACATTAAAAAATTTTAAAAAGTGAAAGTAATTTGAAAAATCTAAAAATAACAGGTAAAATGTTCATTGCTAATTTGGAATTCATCAGCTCTCAATTAATCATATTTTCCTTATAAAAAATTCCACAAGTCTACTTTCCTCTATGTTGAGCTTTGTTTTGGGCATTTCTATCAGAGCCCAATAGTCACAAAGAGATTAAGTGAGAGGGTGGTGCAGAAAACCAGAGTGGGCATTTAAAAAGAGGTAATTGCTTAGGGCCGTGGTCAGCAAACTGCGGCTCTCAATCCACATGCGGCTCTCAGGCTCCTTGAGTGTGGCTCTTCCACAAAACACCACAGCCTGGGCGAATCTATTTTGAAGAAGTGGCTTTACAAGAGGTTTAAAAAATTTGGCTCTCAAAAGAAATTTCAATCGTCGTACTGTTGGTATTTGGCACTGTTGACTGATGAGCTTGCCGACCATTGATCTAGAGGGTATGACTCAGTGGCTGAGTGTCAAACTAGGAACCAAGAGGTCATGGTTAAATTCTGGGTCAGGGCACATGCCCAGGTTGCCAGCTTGATCCCCAGTAGGAGTGCGTGCAGGAGGCAGCCAACTGATGTTTATCTCTACAACTCCTCTCCCTTCCTCTCTCTCTAAAATCAGAAAAACAAATTTTTTAAATATACAAAAATTTAAAAAGACATAGTCATCCTCATAACCCAATTACACATTTGGCAATAAGGCACTGTAAGTCATTTAACTTGACTTACTGAGGCATCCATTTGAAAGGAAGAGTGAATGCCAAAAGATTACTGAATGATAAAGGAAAAGATAACAGAAAATATTTTCACACTCAAAATTGCTGAAAAAGCTGAAACTGGTTTGACTCAGTGGTAGAGCATCAGTCTGCGGATTGAAAGGTCCCGGGTTCGATTCCGGTCAAGGGCATGTACATTGGCTGCAGGCACATCACCGGTGGGGGGTGTGCAGGAGGCGGCTGGTCGATGTTTCTCTCTCATCCACGTTTCCGGCTCTCTATCTCTCTCCCTTCCTCTCTGTAAAAAAATCAATAAAATATATATTTTTTAAAATTGCTGAAAAATATTCTCTTTGCTTTATTTCTGAAGTCGGAATTTACCTTGGCACTGCTCCCAGTATCACATTACTTAGGAAGACTGCATTCAAGAACCACATTTACAGATTTTCTAATAAGACGAACCACAACTTCACCCCAGAGATAGCTACTTTACAGGCATCTGTGCCGACAAGTGTTTTACCACTCTTTGTTGCTGTTACGGATGCCAGGACATCAAACTGCCCCCACGAAAGATGGTTTTGATTTCTTTCCTTTCTTTAAACATATGCCCACTGAGCTGTTCCATAGGCACACATGTGCTTATTACGGCTTATGTTACGTAGGCACACACGTGCTTGCTACGGTTTATGTTCTGTAGGCACATACGTATTTGTTACGGTTTAATGTTCTGTAGGCACACACGTGCTTGTTACGGTTTGTTCTGTAGGTACACACATGCTTGTTACGGTTTGTCATCTTCTACAGGCTCGCTGTGGTATTCCGCCACATACAGGCTCTTGTCAATGTTGCTCGGGATAGGTTTAATTTCTGTTCCCAGCTGCTCCTCAATACTTTTCAGGTTGAAGCGATCATCATATGTGATCAAGTTGATAGCTAAGCCAAGATGACCAAAGCGACCTAACAAAAAAAATTTTTTAAATTAAAAAATGAGTGAATGTGAGAATGTGCATGTGTAAACCTGTAAGCATCAAAACCGTAAAGAGTTAATGTTTCTTCCAGTGCCACTCCGGGTACAGGAATTCTACTCTCCTCATATTCACATTACTTCCCCAAAGTAGTACTCTATTTTACCCTTTTCAAAGGACAAAATAGGTATTTTTGTCAAAAGTTGCCAAAATACACATACTAAATAGTAGTTACAGATTGTGTGAAGTTTCTCCTCTGTTAATTTTACCTCAAATTATGCATATGGTGGTTAACTATTCTTAATAAATGTTCTAGAAGAACTAGAAATTAGTCTTAAACAAAGAACAACTATATTAGTTTTAATTCGCTGTTCTAATTGCTCCCACGATTTCACACAAAACCCTACAAAATTTAGTGACTAAAGTTCTAAAAAAACAAAACAAAAAAAAAAACCCCAAACGTCCACAAAGAGCATTGCCCTCCTGTCCTTCCTCACCTGATCTTCCAATACGATGAAGATAGGTCTCTGCCAGCTTTGGGAAGTCAAAGTTTATTACCACATTCACAGCTTGTATATCAATACCTCGGGTAAACAAATCTTAAAAAAAAAACCAAAAAAAAAAAAAACCTCCATTACAACTTTTAATATTTAAGCAATTTTAAGCATTTAAACATGTGTCTTAGTACTGTAATGCTACTTAACAAATATTTCTAGTATACCTTAAATGTATTTCTTTCACTTAATAATTAAATGTATTTTCAAATTACTAGCATAATCTTTCATGCACATTATCACAAATAACTTTTTTGTCACAAGTTATCTTTGCCCAATTCTACAAGGAAATTTTAGAAAATGGTCTAATTCTGTGGTCGGCAAACTGCAGCTCTTGAGCCACATGTGGCTCTCTGGCCCCTTGAGTGTGGCTCTTCCACAAAATACCACGGCCTAGGCGAGTCTATTTTGAAGAAGTGGAGTTAGAAGAAGTTTAAAAATTTTGGCTCTCAAAAGACATTTCAATCATTATACTGTTGATATTTGGCTCTGTTGACTGATGAGTTCACCAACCACTGGTCTAAGGTAACTGCAAATACAGGAAGAGACCAGGGTAACTAGTAAACTCATAAAACAAATCTTAGGAATAACCAGTAATTTTATTTTCTTTCGCCTGTTTTTTTGCTGAATTATTTATATGTCTGAAGTAAGCTAATCCCATAATTACTATGCTAATTTTAGCTCTGAAAACTATAAATAGTAACAACAGTCTAATAACTAGGCTTACCTTCTTCTACCGGCTCCTAACTCCAACATACAATAATAATCCATGATGATCATAATAATGTTTCTAAAATATTACTCTGAATCTGTAAGTCCTTGCTTTAAATGACATTCAAGGCCCTCCTCTGTTGAGTCTTATCATACTTTTCTAACACATCTCCTCAAAACTTCCTCTCCTCCAAACCCTCTCCTCTCCCTCCCTTGAACGTCTCCTCAGCCCTCTCTGGACCACTTGTGACACCAGTCCCCTAACTCAGTGATCGGCAAACTCATCAGTCACGACCAAATATCAACAGTATAACGACTGAAATGTCTTTTGAGAGCCAAAATTTTTAAACTTAAACTTCTTCTAATGCCACTTCTTCAAAATAAACTCGCCCAGGCCGTGGTATTTTGTGGAAGAGCCACACTCAAGGGGCCAGAGAGCTGCATGTGGCTTGAGGGACCGCAGTTTGCCAACCACGGCCCTAACTTAATCTTACCTAGCTTACAAAGCAATTAAAATACCATCTATTCTCAGATAACCTCAGCTAGTTACTTCCCTCTCCTATGAAAATTTAGGATTATTTGCTGCAGTTGACTCTTGAACAACATGGGGGTCAGAGGCACGCACCTACCCCTGCACAGTTGAAAATCTGTAACAACTCCCCCTAAATTTAACTATTAACATAACCCTACTATACCGGAAGCCTTACCAATATCACAGTTGACTAACAAATTTTATGTTATACTAGAGGCCCAATACACGAAATTCGTGCAAGGGGCTCAGCCCTCACAGCCTGGCTGCCACGGCTCTCATTGCCAGGGCTGCCTCCGGTGTCCCCGCCCCCACCCCATCTTCTGGCAGGCCTTTCAGCCATCCGGTCTAATTAGTATACTGGCTCTTTATTATATAGGATATCTTATATATTGTGTTCTTACAATAAAAATTTTTTCTTATTCTCTTAAGAACACTTTCTTTAAAGAAAATGTAATATATTTACTGTATTTATTGAAAAATAACCCATATATAACTGGATCCATGTAGTTCAAATCTGTGTTGTTCGACCAATTTATAAAATTCACATTTGCAAATTACTTTTAGTCCCCAAGGCCTGTCTTTGTAAATAAAGGTTATTTTGTTAATCCTCATCCAAGGGTATTTTCCCATTGATTTTTTTTTATTTTTTAGATGGGGGGGGGGGACACACACACACACATCGGAGTGTGCGTGTGTGTGTGAAAGAAAAACATTGATGTGAGAGACACATTGACTGGCTGCCTCCTGATGGGTTGGGGGTTGAACCTGCAACTCAAGCACATACCCGACTGGGCCTCAGACCTGACCCTTTGTTGCACAAACCAACACTAACCCGTGAGCCCATGCCCATTTGTTCATATACTAAGGGTGCTTCGGAGTTAGAATAGCAGAGCTCAATATCTTGTAACAAGACAAGGTGTGCAAAGTCTAAAATATTTACTATCCACCACTTTACAGATAAAGTGTGCAGGCCCTGCATTAGACTTTTGTTGTTGTGAATCCTCACTCAAGGATATTTTTTGTTTATTTAAAAAAAAGATACTTTTATTGATTTCAGAGAGGAAGGGAGAGGGAGAGATAGAAACATCAATGAGGGAGAATCATTGATCGGCAGCCTCCTGCATGCCCACCACTGGGGGTCAAGTCTGCAACCCGGGTATGTGCCCTTGACCGGAATCCAACCTGGGGCTCTCCAATCCGCAGGCCGATGCTCTCTCCACTGAGCCAAACCAGCTGGGGCTCCATTAATTTTTTTTAGAGAGGAGTTGAAGGGAGGGGAAAGACAGAGATAGAGCAATCCAGCTAGGGCTAGACTCTGAATGCTGTTCACCTTTTTAACACTCATTAAACCATTGCTCCTTGCCGAAACCGGTTTGGCTCAGTGGATAGAGCGTTGGCCTGTGGACAGAAAGGTCCCGGGTTTGATTCTGGTCAAAGGCATGTACATTGGTTGTGGGCACATCCCCAATAGGGGGTGTGCAGGAGGTAGCTGATCGATCTCTCTCTCTCATCGATGTTTCTAACTCTCTATCCCTCTCCCTTCCTCTCTGTAAAAAATCAATAATATATATTAAAAAAACAAAACCCCCAAAAAACAAACAAAACACCACTGCTCCTTAAAGGGGTGGTACTTTGCAGGTATTTACTTATACATGTTCATACATGTTATTCAGTGTTAGTTTAATGACATCATTATTCTGAAAAATCAGAAAGAAGGCATTGGTACTTCAAAAACCTGAAGGCAACTTTGCAAGTGATGATTAAGTAAAACCCATTGTCCTGGCTCTTTGGTCAGTGGTTAGAGCGTCATCAAAGGATCTCGGGTTTGATTCCCAGTCCAGGGCACGTGTGGAAACAGCCAATCGATGTGCTCCCTCTCTCTTCCCCTTATTCTTTCCTCCCTCCCTCCCTCCCTCTCTCTCTCTCTAGAAATCATTAAGAAAAATATTCTGCCGAAACCGGTTTGGCTCAGTGGATAGAGCGTTGGCTTGGGGACTGAAGGGACCCGGGTTCGATTCCGGTCAAGAGCATGTACCTTGGTTGCGGGCACATCCCCAGTAGGGGGTGTGCAAGAGGCAGCTGATCTATGACTCTCTCATTGATGTTTCTAACTATCTCTCTCCCTTCCTCTCTGTACAAAATCAATAAAATATATTTTAAAAAAAAATTCTGTGAGGATTTTGGAAAAGAGCATTAATCACAATAATTTATATCAGTGTATAATTACAAAGAACATTTTTTTGAGGGGGGTATATTTCTCCCCCTGGCTGGGTAGCTCAATTGGCTAGTGATGTCCCAATACACACGGCAAGAAGCAACCAATGAATGCATAAATAAGTGTTGTTCGACCACTTTCGATGCTCTCCCTAAAATCAACAGGTAAAATTAAGAAAAAAAATCTCATTCAAACAGAAAAATGCTTAATAGCAAATGACAAATGTGAACATAAATGTATTAATTCACAGCTATACTAAACTGTTCTCCAGCTGTTAAGGCAGAGAAACAAGGTAACAGGAAGGTAGGCAAGGTATTTGACAGTCCTTTCTATTCATGTAAATGAAATATTCTGCTAAAAATTTCAAAGTTTAATCTACAGTTAACGTTTTTAAAAACACCAATCTTGAAATATTCTAAATCTTGATTTGGATGCACATGCAAATATTCAAATATACGTGATTTATTTATGTGTTTACCTCAATTTTTAAAATTCTAGGCTTTCTCTCTACCCAGAAGTCTATTAATCTTATACCAATATTAAGACTATATTCCCAATGTAAAGATGGGTGGAGCTTTAGCTGCTTTGCCTCAGTGGATACAGCGTTGGCCTGTGGACTGAAGGTCCCAGGTTTGATTTCAGTCGAGAGCACATGCCTGGGTTGTGGGCTCCATCCCCAGTGGGGGGCATTTAGGAAGTAGCTGATCCATTATTCTCTCATCATCATTGACGTTTCTAATATCTCACTCCCTCTTTGAAATCAATAAAAATATATTTAAAAAACGAATAAACAAAAGAGATGGGAGGATACTGAATCCATTGCATTGTCTGACTGTCTACCTGCCTCCCCAGTGGTTTTCTTCATGTTGTGAAAATATAATAAAATTCAGACTAGTTTGCTTCTGGCAAAAAATCAAAAGGCCACAATAAGCAATTTCTAAAACATAGATGGTTTCACAATATAATTCATTTTGTGTGTGCTAAATGTAATTCGCTCCTGTATGCTATTCAGAAGAAACACAAATTCTAAAATTTGTTTAGAAGGCAGGTAAGACATCAGTGCCAGAACCAGTCTTCGTAGCGTCAGATATGGACCCTGAGTTCAGGAGTTAACCACAGCTGCTTCTCCACTTCAGAAGTTCTAAAAGTGGTACCAGGGTGAGCTAAGCTATGTCACAGGCTCCTACTGTGGAACATGGACAAATAAGCAGAGCAGAAATAGGGAAAAAGCAATGGATAAAGGAAACAAAAAATACTTACCAGTGCAAACAAGATTGCGGCATAAGCCATTTCGGAAATCATGAAAGACACGATTTCGATGTTCCTAGGAAGAGAGCAATGCATTGTATTTGACCAAAACTCATGCACACAGCCCCAAATCCCCACTATTTCTCCTGCACAAAATTTGTTCACACAAATGAGAAGTGAACCAATTCAATAAAAACATACCATAAATTGGTTTCCCATGGGCATTAATAAGCAACTAATAATCTCTATATGTTGTATTTAAGTCAAAGGTATTTAGATTTTTTTTGCTGAAGTGGATTTGAAGTAACAATTTTCACCATGTTTTTGTATATATACCCTTTAAAAATGTTTTCCACAGATGATGCCAAGTTTGGCTTGACCAAACTTCTATGGTTTTACCTTTTTAGTAATTATATACAAAAGCTAAAGTAACTACTTTCCAATTAATAAACTAAAATAGAGCATATAAAATGATTCTAGAAGTTATAAATCTAGCATCTGGCAAACTGGCTTATCTTGTGAGCACAAAATTCTTCCATTTTAAAATATTCTCATCAGCTGACTACATTCATTTCCTATGATAATGTCTAACTGCTAGGCGCCTACATAGTGGTATTTGATCCATGACATTACGCTTCTTTGAAAACCAAATATGAGTTAACTAATTTAAGTTCTTAACCTTAACAAGTCTACAGAAACTGCTTTTCATGAAATTTCACTTGATACACACACAAATGTCATTATAGTTTTTAATTTATTCTCTGAATAAAAAATTCAAAAATTTAGAGATTCCATCACTTTCTTAAGGCAAATAGTTAAAAAAAAAATAATACTTGGGTTGAGGTTCATAAATACATTAAAAATGTAAAATCCTCAGCATTAATGGAAATGTTCTATATCTGTACTGTCCAGAACCGTAGGTAATTGTGACATGTAATGAGGCACTTGAATGTGGTCAATAAATCTAAAATTTTTTATTTAATTTTAATTCATTTAAATTGCCACATGTGGCTAGAGGCTATTGTATTAAATACTGCACAACTAGAGATAACCTGGGGAAAGAAAGGAACAAAGTCTGATATTTGTATTACTCTTGACAGTTGACAGATATTTGGGCATTATCTCAATATTCCTTGCAAGATAGGAGTATGCATTACCCTATTTCATAGTTAGAAAACTGGGCCTCCAGGAGGTTAAAATGAAGAGTCCTTCATGCACCAAGGAGTAATTTCTTCTTAAACTCAGGACATTTGGAGGAGCATCAAAACAAAATTCCAAGAAATACTTAAAGTGTTTTAAAAATCTGTGCATGTTCTAGTTTGACACTCACCTGCCTCATTTTAGCATGGATATAGAAGCAGGAATAACCCAGTTGAGAAATCTTCTTGGCTAGCAATTCAACTCGCTGAGAGGAGTTACAGAAAATGATCGACTGATTTATCTGAAGCTGAGCACAGGGGGGCGGGAGGGAGAGACATGAGAACACCGTTATTTACTTTGCACATCTTGAAAATACTGACTGGCAAACAAATGTTAAAACCATGGTCTATGACAGAAAGTTTTATGATACAAAACTGTAAAAATTGTAAATACTATTCATTTCCTTAATATTTGCAGATACTTTATAAGTTTTATTGTAGCACAGTATATTTCATAAGGGCACACAATTGCCAGCAAGAACAAAAAATACAACAGTTGCTGCAAATACTGCATTAGTGAATAAAGAACCATTGCTCCTAGGATAAATACAGTTCCTGTAAACATCTTGTCACAAGGTTTTTTTTTAAACTGGTATTAGAGAGAAACATCAACTGGCTGCCTCCCGCATATGCCCCACAAGAGATGGAACCTGAAACCTGGGTATATGCCCTGACCTGGAATCAAACCTGCCACTCTGGTATATATAATAGCATGACACTCCACTGAGCCATCCTGGCCAGGGCTGGCCCTGAGTTTTTCATCAATGAACCAATAGCCTTGTTTTTGTGTTACTGTTTAAAGACACATTATTTATTCATTGTCAACAGCATCGTAACTCAAGCCTGTGCAAGCAAGGCTTATTTCATACACATTTCCTCTGTGAGGCACTGAGACTTCTGTACTTTGGTGCACGAGACAGCACTTTAACACTATGCTTTTAAACAAAAAAGTCACAAGAATGCAAAAAAGATGTGGCATTAAATAGGCCATGAATATGACCTTAGTTGGGAATATACACAATGACTCAAATTGTTATGCATGTCCACAAATGACCTCAAAAGCATCCAAGTACCGATTGTGATTATAAATTCTGGCAAGTACGAATTTGCAAATACAGTACCTGCAAACGAGGACTGACTGTAATTATTGCAAACACGAGAATCAACTTTAATTAAGGTCAACTATTTTATTTTATTTTATTTTTTTAAAATATATTTTATTGACTTTGTACAGAGAAGAAGGGAGAGAGATAGAGAGTTAGAAACATCGATGAGAGAGAGTCTTCGATCAGCTGCCTCTTGCACACCCCCTCCTGGGGATGTGCCCGCAACCAAGCTTACATGCCCTTGATCGGAATTGAACCCGGGACCCTTCAGTCCCCAAGCCGACGTTCTATCCATTGAGCCAAACCGGTCTCGGCAAGGTCAACTATTTTAAAATTAAATAAAAGTACCTAAGACTTGTCAACTATACCCCAACTTCAGATGAGCTGAAACTCTCTCTCAAGAAAAGCTAAAAACTTAAAAAAACAAAAACCATTTGAAGTTGTGGGGAAACGGATACAATGTGTTTTATTGGGATCAGTAACAGGTAATGTGCAGGAGCCCTGTTCCTTACCCTGGAGAACAGTGTGTTGAGGCAGTGTACTTTTTGGCGCTCAGTTACATATGCGTAGTACTGGGTTACTCCCTTCAAAGTTAATTCCTCCATCAGGTTAATCTCATAGGGTTTCTGCAAATGGGAATTCTGAAAATAAATAAATAGAAGACTTATTCTTAAGTGAAAGCAGAATATTTCTCTTAAACTCAAAAAATATATCTTATACATCTGTCTGAAAAAAAAACCAAACTACTGCTTTAAGGATGCAGATTTCTTAAAAACAAATATACACAATCCTTCATGAAGAAATAAAGTACAATACAATGTGAGGGTTAACAGTTAGATTATGTTGTAATCTATTTATATAGCATCAATGGCTGTGTCAGCCTGACACCAAAAAGCGAATGAAGAATTTAATCAAATTACTATTTAAAAATTCAGTTAATTTATGCACAACAAACCTTATTAGCTGATAAAAAAGCCAAAACTATAGCCTGACAAGAAGATATAATTATGAATAAAGACATATGCATGAGTAACAGGATGGCACTGTTGCCAAGTTCATCTGTTCACACTCACCATGAACTTCTGTACACTAAGAGGAAAAGTAGCGGAATATAATAAAATCTGTCTGTTTTTAGGTAGCGTGAGAATAATATCCTCCATTATTTGCACAAAATCCTGTGACAGCAACTTATCTGCCTGCAGTACAAGAGAAGACAATTTTAAAAACAATCAAGTAATGTCAAGTTCTTTGGTTACCAAGGCATCATACCCCCAAAGCATCCATGGAATGCTCCTGTGGTAAACACGAAGTTCTCTCCACCACCACATAAGCCGACAGCACCAAGGCACATGGCCCGTGACTCGGGGAAAGTGTGAAACCCATCTAAGGGGACATGGTGGCAGATTCCATAACAGAATTTTAATATGATTTCCTTTAAAGACACAGTATGATATACTGGTTAAAAGTATAGGCTGCAGCTGAAACCGGCTTGGCTCAGTGGTAGAGCGTCGGTCTGCGGAATGAAAGGTCCCAGGTTCAATTCCGGTCAAGGGCATGTACATTGGTTGCAGGCACATCCCCGGTAGGGGGTGTGCAAGAGGCAGCTGGTCGATGTTTCTCTCTCATTGACGTTTCTAGCTCTCTATCCCTCTCCCTTCCTCTCTGTAAGAAAAATCAATAAAATATATTAAAACAAATAAATAAATAAAAGTATAGGCTGCAGCCGATACCGGTTTGGCTCAGTGGTAGAGCGTCGGTCTGCGGACTGAAAGGTCCCGGGTTCGATTCCGGTCAAGGGCATGTACGTTGGCTGTGGGCACATCCCCAAGTAGGGGATGTGCAGGAGGCGGCTGGTCAATGTTTCTCTCTCATCGACATTTCTGGCTCTCTATCTCTCTCCCTTCCTCTCTGTAAAAAAATCAATAAAATATATTTAAAAAAAAAAAAGTATAGGCTGCAGAGTCAAATTACTTTGATTGAAATCTTGTTTCCTTCAATTTACTACACTGGGAGGTTGGTTAACCAATCAATTATTCACATTCCACAATTTTAAATTAAGATGTGTATTCACTACAGTACTAACTTCATTGGATACCTATCTTACAAGACTGTTGCAAAATTAAATTAAAAAAACAAACAAACGTGTAAAAGCACATAGCCAACCTGATCTAGCAAGCTAGCTAAAATGCAGACCAAATAGAAAAGTAATTTTATTTCAAAATATTAAGTGATGTACTGTATGTATAAAACACTACTGGGACCCAAGGACACAGAGCTGAGTACCGTATTTTTCGGACCATAAGACGCTCCGGACCATAAGACGCACCAGTTTTTAGAGAAGGGAAATGAAGAAAAAAAGATTCTGAAACAAATAGTGTCCTAAAATATTTTATGTGCATTAAAACCCAACATCATAGTCATAAACACATGTAATCAACCCTGTAAACAGCAGCATTTAGAACCATTTTAGAGCCGGGCAAGTAAAAAAACTTTTTTTAAAAAGTATATGTGTAGGCTATATTTGGACCATAAGACGCAGGGACTTTTCCCCCCCCACTTCTGGGGGGAAAAAAGTGCGTCTTATGGTCCAAAAAATACGGTAAGTTCTTAAAGGCACTTACTACCTAGTGAGATAATACGAGTAACAGACTAAAAAACCAAATATAAAATATTATACGCTAAATGAGGGGTTAGAGATATTATATGCCTTTTAAGATGTATCACTAAATGGAAAGAGACTTAGCATGAACTTGGTTTGAAGTTATTCAACAACTTCTCATCTTGAAAAATAAAAATAAAATCCAAACTATCTGGTATCCCTAAGAAAGGCACAAGGCTGACCTATTCTTATAAATATCATCGATTGCCTTTAAAAGGCAAAACATGTTTTATAAGCAAATTATAAACTGATAAAAGTCGTGTGTTTATTAGAAAATCATAAGGAAAACACAAAGAACCTTTGCTCAGAATAATACAAAATAGCATCTTTCCAAATAAAGAGACATTACCTCATCCAATACTATCATCTGGACATGATCAACTTTTGCTACTCCTTTCTTGATAAGATCCAGGATTCTCCCAGGGGTAGCGATTACCACGTGCACTACACAAGATTAGAAAACATTCTCATTAAGTTTAGCTTGGGCATAAAGGATGTAGTAAAAGCTTGCATACATATATAAACCTTTAAAAATATATATCTAACTAGAGGCCCGATGCATGAAATTCATGCATGGGTAGGGCCAACCTGTGGGAAACCCGGTGGGGTAATCAGGAGGCCCCCTGTGGGCAGCTCCTGTGTTGAGCGTCTGCCCCCTGGTGGTCAGTGCGCATCACAGTGACCAGACATTCTGCCGGTCGGTTGATTTGCATTGTTGGTAGAGGTAGAAATTTAGTAGTCCCTCCTTATCCAGTTTCACTTTCCATAGTCAAGTGCAGTCTGGAAACATTAAATAAAAAATTCCAGAAATAAACAATTCATAGGCTTTACATTTTGAGCCATTTTGAAAAATGTGATGAAAACTTGCTCCTTTCCACTCAGTCCTGCCCAGGATGCAAAGCATCCTTTTGTCTAGTATTCTGCTAACCACCTGTCAAGTCACTTAGGAGTCATCTAGGTTGTCAGATGGTTGTACCTCAGTGCTTGTGTTCAAGAAATATTTATTTAATTAAATGGCCTCAAGTGCCAAAGAGAAGTTGGAACATGCATCCTTTAAGTGAAAATGTGAATGTTCTCTACATAAGGAAAAAAATGTATGCCGAGTTTGTTAAGGTGTATGATAAGAATCAATCTTCTACCCATGAAATTGTGAAAAGAAATTTGTGCTAGTTTTGCTGTCATACCTCAAACTGGGAAACTTATGATGATCACTGTAAATATAAGTGCTTAGTTAAGATGGAAAATGTATTAAATTTATGAGTGGTAGATGTGAACTAAAAAAGGCCAAATTCACCTAACTTTTATTACAGTACTAGAGGCCCCACGCACAAAAATTCGTGCTGGGGAGGGTGGGTGGGTGGATGAGGGTGTCTCTCTCAACCTAGCCTGCCCCCCTCACTCCAGGAGCCCCCGGTCACTGTCCCCATCACCCCACTAATGCTTCCGGCTCTCAGCCCTAGCTTCTTAGCGCTGGCCCCACTCCCTGCCCTCTGGTGGGCGGGGCGATCTGGGGCCGGGCTGGCTGGGGGAAGGGGCTGTGAGAGGCCGAGGCTGAGCAGCTTGCACTCGGTCCAGCCTCTGCAGAGGCGTGGCACTTGAACTGGCCCGCGCTACTGCCTCTGTGGCTGCCTGTGCGGAAGGGGCAGCCCTGGGACCGGGCAGCCGCAGCGTGTCCCATGCCACCTTTGCCTTCTCACCGCCCATTCAAAAGGGGCTGCGGTGCCAGACTGGCCCGCCCCTCCCACGCAACCTAGGTCCTCACAGCCGCTATAGCTTTGTCCGGATGGACCTCCGTTCTAATTATCATACTGCCCTTTTATTAGTATAGGCATTGCTGTAATTGTTCCATTTTATTATGCTACTGTTAATACCTTACCTAATTTATAATGTGTATGTATGTGTGCGCACAAGCATGTGTGTAGGATGTGGCACTCCCCTAAGTTTCAGGCACCCACTGGGGGAGGGGAGGTCTGAGAACATATCCCATGCAGGTAAGGGGGGACTACTATAGTACAAAGAGACAAAATTTGTATTTTAGGATAGGGGTTTCTACTTCATCTTAGGTTGACTAAGATATACTTATTTGTTTCACCTCTACATGGGATGGGCTCAAGGTTCCCAAATCCCTTGCTCCAAATAAGGGGCCTATTTCCTTCTTAGGACAATCCCTAGTGAATAACAAAAGGCATATCAGGCTTCTAATATAGTGGACTTTTTCAACTAGAGTTATAAGGATCAAATGAGATAATCATTTAAAATAACTGTGCAGTATGAAGACTACAATAACTGATCTAATGACAACCATATGAAAATCTAATATTCTAGCCAAAGCTGGTTTGGCTCAGTCTGCGGACTGGAGGGTCCCAGGCTTGATTCCAGTCAAGGGCATGTACATTGGTTGTGGTCACATCCGCGTTGGGGGATGTACAGGAGACAGATGGTCCATGTTTCTCTCTCATTGATGTTTCTAACTCTCTATCCCTCTCCCTTCCTCTCTGTGGAAAATCAATAAAATATACTTAAAAAAAAAAAAAAAAAGAAAATCTAATAATCTATGCATAACTTTATACATAAGATTTCATTGTTTTATCTTTCCCCCCACACAGTAATGTATCATGGAGAACCCTTCATAAAAATTAATACAGATGAGCTTCATGCTTTATGGCTGTGTGGAATTCCATTCAGACTATCCTCTAATGTTCAGGTTTTTCCAATTTTTCAGTTCTACCAAACCACAACAACCTCGCATTTGGCCAATTCTTTCTTTAGGAAAGATACTTGAAAATATACATTTATAATTTTGAAACATGCCAACTTGCCCACCATAGAGACTGTATCAATTTATATGCCTATATTATAAGGTAGCCTATTTTGCCACAAACTCATGTTATTGGTTATTAATTTTTTTTGGTCTTGCCAATCAGAAAGGCACAATATCAATTTGCTGTTCTTATTTACATTTTTCAATTCTATTACTATCTCTTTGATTTTTCAGACACAGAAGGGGGTGAGGGAGAGAGAGAAGAAGAGATAGATAGACAGATAGATAGATAGATAGATAGATAGATAAACAAATATTCAGGGTTCAAACCCACAACCTAGGTATGTGCCCTGACCGGGATTCAAGCCTGCAATCCTTTGGTGCAGGATAAAACACTCCAACCAACTGAACCACCTGGCCAGGACCCTTATTAATTAAGAACAATTTTCATAAGCTATTGAAAGGAAGCACCATGTATGCAGTTAACTCAGAGAGTGAGGTGACCTGGGTCAGTGATTTCCTACCTGTGTCATCGAGCCTCATTATGTCATCACGTAAATTGGTTCCTCCTGTGGTTGCCATCACTTTGGCCCCTCCCATGTGTTTGCTGACCTGGATGCAGATTTGACTGACCTGTAGAGCAAGTTCTCTTGTAGGAACAATCACCATTGCTGAAAAATAGCAAGCACAGAGAAAATAGGAAAAATAACATAGATTTTAAGAGTTTAAGAAGCTACAGAAATACTGCTCCTTGCAATCTAGATCCTCAGTATATTAAAAAGTTAAATCATAATAGGCCTAACCAATTCCAAAACGTCAAATGAACAAATCTTAAATAAATAAATAAATAAAATAAAACCACACACACACACACACACAAACCCCCGCTTAGTAATCCAACTATAAACTTTTCCTAAACAATGTTGCTAGAAGTCTTGTTCTGTTCTCAATTACAAACCTTTAAAGGGTTCCCTATAAGTTGGCAGCTGCTTAAAGATTATTAATTTAATATTTCAGTAAGAGACTCACTAGTCTACACCCCCAAATAGGGAACTCTTGCCCCAGGTATGAAAGTAGGTAAATGAAAGATGGCAGAAATGATATTTATAGGTCACAACAGCTGGGGAGAAAAAACTGCTTTAGAAGTAAAAACTTAACTCTCTTAGCTTACTTTGGGTACAAGCATGAAAATATTTCTTTCCTACTGCCTCAGCTCTTAAAATTCCAAAAACATGTGGCTTTAAAGAGAAAAAATTCGCCATAACTGGTTTGGCTCAGCGGATAGAGCGTCAGCCTGCGGACTGAAAGGTCCCAGGTTCGGTTCCAGTCAAGGGCATGTACCCTGGTTGCAGGCACATCCCCAGCAGAGGTGTGCAGGAGGCAGCTGGTCGATGTTTCTCTCTCATCAATGTTTTTAACGCTCTATCCCTCTCCCTTCCTCTCTGTAAAAAAATTATATATATAAAAGAGAAAAGATTCATGTTTCTATAGGAAACTTGCAGACACACAGCTGCCACAGAAACAATTCAGTTCCACAGTTTTTTTCTATTTTGTTTATCTTTGTTCATTAGACTCCAACATATAAGAGAAATCACAGTTCCATAGTTTTTAAGTAATAATATCCAACAATTTAACTTCTCATGATCTTAGTGCTCCTATCTATAAGGCAATAGCTTACTTTGCCTGTATCACTGAAATATTATCAAAACTGCATAATATAAAACTTTTTTTTGAAAACTACAAATCTCTTTAAAGAGTTGTGGGGGAAAAAAGGATAAATACTAATTCCAGACTAGTTCTAGCTTAAAAAAATTATCTTCTACATAGCTCCAAGGTCTAAATTGTTATTTTCAGTTTAAACAAACAACTAACCTTGTATATTGTCCTTCTTCAGGTCTAGCCGTTCAAGTAAGGGAATGAGGTAGGCACCACTCTTGCCCGTTCCATTTTTTGCTCTAGCTAAAATATCCCTACCAGATAAAGCGATGGGAATGCTCTCCTCCTAAAAGAGACAAGACAATACAAATTACTTGTGAATAAAAATAGCACAGTCTGGCCGGTATGGCTCAGTGTTTTGAGCGTCAACCTATGAACCAGGTGGTCCCATGTTCGATTCCCAGTCAGGACTCATGCCGGGTTGCAGGCTCATTCCCCAATGGGGGGCATGCAGGAGGCAGCCAGTCAATGATTCTCTCATCACTGATGTTTCTATCTCTCTTTCACTCTCCCTTCCTCTCTGAAATCAATAAAAATATATATATATTAAAAACAAACAAACAAACAAACAAAAAAACCCAGGACATAAGCAAAATTTTAAAATATATATATTTTATTGGTTTTTTTTTACAGAGAGGGAGGGAGAGGGAGAGTTAGAAACATCGATGAGAGAGAAACATCGATCAGCTGCCTCCTGCACACCCCCTACTGGGGATGTGCCCGCAACCAAGGTACATGCCCTTGACCGGAATCAAACCTGGGACCTTTCAATCCGCAGGCCGACACTCTATCCACTGAGCCAAACCGGTTTTGGCTTAAACATTTTAAAAATATATTTTTATTGTAGAAATATCTAAGTCATAAGCATAATTCTATTTCCCACCATGACATTCATTCTACCCAGAACCCAATCACGGGTCAGATGGGTTCCGTATGGTCAAAATAACTAGCACAGATGCCAGAACTGAGAAAACGGTCCGTGACAATTCTGTTATCTTGTTCCTATAACCAACAGTAAATAGTCTGCTCATTGTGGTAAAGCAGGCCAAGGAAGAAAATGCCTGGAGATCAAACCTGCAACCTTGGCCTATCAGGACAACACTTTAACCCACTGAGCAACCCAGCCATGGCCTCTACTATGGTGTTTAAACAGGCCACCTGCACACCATAGCAAAAAAAAAAAAAAAGGGGGGGGGAGGGAGGGGGAGATGGGGCTAAATGGTCTCCAAGGGGTTTCCAATGGTTTTCTGAGCCAGGTCCTTTAAAACTATGAAAATTTTCAATGAAGGCATGCAGGTAGAATTAATTTGGGGGTACCCTAATACAATATGTCTTTGGTTTAGATGGAGGCTACTAACTTCTAAATTCCTCTACTTTCTTTGATGGGGCTCACGCTCTACGGAAACTGTTGAAGGGTAAGACTTTGTCACAAAGTCAGTAAGCTGGTCTGTAAGTTAGGATGTACTGATACTGTGCCTGAATGCTGGCCATATGATTAGTTTGCTAATTCAGCACATCCACAGTCTCTTACTACTGTTTCCTAGGAAGACCAGGTAATACGAAGCAAGAAAACAGATTCAGACAGCTCTGAAACCAAGAGGGAATAATGTGAAGCTGCCAAGAAAGGAGAAAAGCAAGCCTAAAATTCTTAAAACACTGTGTGCTAGGCACTCTGCAAGGTAGATATCTTGTGATATCTACGTCCTTTCAAGCTTGGTACTTTTTGTTTTACAATTTATAAGATGGATCCTCAGAGATTAATTTTTTGCCCAAGGTCATGAAGCAAGAAATGCCAGAACCAGGACTTAAACTTAGGTCTGCAAATAACAACATGTAAGTGAGGATGTGGAAAAATCAAAACCCTCATACAGTTACTGGGAATTTATAGCCACTTTGGAAGTCTGGCAACTCCTCAAAAGGTTAAAGAGCATTAGCATATGAACCCACAATTCCACTCCCAGATATATAACCCCAGAGTGAAAACTTCTCCACACAAAACTTGTACATTAATGTTCACAGCAGCATCTATATAACAAAAGCCCAGAGGCTGTTATGGCAGAACGACCGGTCGCATGATACACCAGGCACAGGGGCCACCAGGGCCACTGCCGAGCCCAAGGGCCCCAGGGTCAGTTGTGCCACCGCCGCTGCCAAGGCCCCGGTTAAGAACGCGAAGGTGGCCAATACCGGTTTGGCTCAGTGGTAGAGCGTCGGTCTGCGGACTGAAAGGTCCCAGGTTCAATTCCGGTCAAGGGTATGTATGTTGGCTGTGGGCACATTCCCAGTAGGGGATGTGCAGGAGGCAGCTGGTCGATGTTTCTCTCTCATCGACGTTTCTGGCTCTCTCTCTCTTTCCCTTCCTCTCTGTAAAAATAAATAAAAACAAAAACAAAAACGCGAAGGTGGCCAGTGTGAGCATGCAGCTTGAGATGAGGCTCGGTGGGACAAATTAAATCAGCTGGGCACTGAGATGGCCGTCACCAAGGCTGGCAGGTCAGGGCACCCCTCTCCCTGCTACAACCCTCCCCATGTGGCACCTGTCTCCGGCAGCGGGCTTTGGCCCAATCCACGTGAGCGAGAGTGAGAAGCGGGATGGGGGCACGGCCTGGCCACCTGTGGGTCCCTCTCCGCACGCCAGCTCCTTTGCTCTCCGAGTCCCGGCTCTAGTGAAAGGCGCCTGGTGCTCCGGGCCGGAAGTACTGCTCAGGAGGCCAGAGAAACCTGTGAACCTGCCACCTGACCAGCAGCCCAGGACCCGGCACCATCAGAAATGGACCGGCTCAGAGCACACTGAGCTGGGGGGAAGGCAGCCCCCTGGGAGGGGCCTTCCCACCAACAGCTCCTGGTGGATCCACTTCCAAGGAAACTGGGTCTTTGGTTCCTTAGCTCAGTCTATCCCGGCTAAAGAGGAGCGCTGGGCACATTTTAGGGGAGAATTAAGACTAAAGCAGTGTGCTCTGTTCCGTGGAGATTGCTACCCCGTTGTCTTAGGCCTAAATTCCGGGCGATTGTGGGGCCTGTGCCTTCCAATTGGCCTGTATTTGTTGAAGGGCCCAAAGAGAAGAAGGGGAACAAGTTTTCAATGCAATGGATTTGACCAAGACAAAGGAGAGTGGCGGGCTGAGTCTAATATACACAGAGCCCCAGCTCTGAGTCCCTGAGGCCAAAGGGAGCTCAGGGCCTGTTTGCAGAGCTTTCCTCCCAGGGAAACTCGGGGCCCACGCTCAGCTCCAGTTCAATGGGTCTTCTCCAGCCCCTCCCTCTCCCCTGATTGGGGGTGGGGCTGGCGGCCCCTACCCCCAGTGGCCTGGCAAGAACGGACCCCACTCTGCATGAATCCGTGCACCAGGCCTCTAGTTATTTATAATAGCTAACAGTGCCATACCATGGAACATTACTCAACAGAAAGGAATGAAGTTTTGATATATGTTACAACATGGATGACTCCCTAAGGAAATATAAGAGGAGATCATATATTGTATAATTCTAGTTATAGAAAATGGATAGAATAGTTAAGTCTATAGAGACAGAAAATAGAGTAGGGGCTGCTTATGGCTAGGGGAAAATGAGAGACTGCTAAAGGAGTTTCCGTTTAGGGTGATGAAAACGTTCTAAAAGTGATTGTAGTATTGATTGCATAACTGTGACTATACTAAAAACCATTGTATAGTTTAAATGTGTGAATTGTAAGCTATTCGAGTTATATCTGAATTTAGCCCAACAATCCCACAACCTTAGTCTGATGGCAGAATCATGCCACCTTAGCTCTCCAAGTCCGTGATCTAGGGTCTAGGGACTGATCCAATCTCTCTCTCTATAAAAGCCCAAGCGACTGTTATGACCGAATGACCTGTCGACCAGTCACTATGACACATATTGATCACGAGGAGGCAGACACAACGCAGGAGCTGTGGTCAGTGCGCTCCCGCAGCCAAAAGCCCTTGCCCCAGCCATGGGCCCCTGCACTGGGCCTCGAGTATATATACATGATGTATTTTTGTTACATTGGTATCCATTTCCCTTTCTTAGTAGAACCCTAGCTTCCTTCTGAGGTAGTCCATCTTCCCCACCGCCAATGTATCAATAGTCTAGCCAACTTCCTCAGCCACATGATAGATTCTGGCATTGCTGTGTTTTCCACAAATTCTCAGGTAAAATAACAGTGAAGAAAAAGGCAATGTGGACGGTAGTCTCAGGTATCTAACACTTTGGCTAAGTGGCTGGAGAATTAATGCCTATATACTTTACAACACTGAGAGTGCAAATAACTAAGTCATTTTAAAATTTAATACAAAGGTGGAAAATAGAAGCCAGCAAGGATTTGCTAAATGAATCAATAAATAAAAAAACTATTATATGGAACAATAACCCATGACATTTCTTACACATTAATCATGTACTAGGCACTGTATTTGTTGTTTTATTAAGCTATTATATGTGTACATATCTTTCCATGCCCCCCGCCCCCCAGCACTGTATTAAGCATACTAACATTCATCCCCTCACTGAACCTTCACAATAGCCCTATGGTATATGCTATATCAACTTTACAGGCCAGCAAACTAGGGCTTAAGAAGATAACTCAATCAACTAAGAAAGCAATGGAGTTGCGATTCAACCTGGGCAGCCTACTTGCAAATTCTATAGTGCTCTTAGGCAGTTCTCTAAGCAGGGTAGATCAAGTTCACCTGCCGACATGTTAATCATAATTTCAAAGCTTTCTAAATGCAACTGGCTTTTTGAACGCAGTTTCCTGCATGTACCTTGCTAAGTACCAGAAATCCAAAGTGGAAGGACAGACCCCACAGGAGAGCTCTTAGAACTTTTATCCTTACAGATAAAACACACTAACATGAACTACATTATAGAAAAGTAGTCTACATATTTTTAATTTCCACATTCACATTGCCTATCTCATTGCCAAACTGCAGCTCGCGAGCCACACGCGGCTCTTTGGCCCCGTGAGTGTGGCTCTTCCACAAAATACCACGGCCTGGGCGAGTTTATTTTGAAGAAGTGGTGTTAAAAGAAGTTTAAGTTTAAAAAATTTGGCTCTCAAAAGAAATTTTAATCGTTGTACTGTTGATATTTGGCTCTGTTGACTAATGAGTTTGCTGACCACTGGCCTATCAGATTATGTATAACATTATCTTGACACTTTCTCTAGCCATAATAAACTTCTTTCATTTTGTCCACAAAGGCATACTGTCACCCGTAGGCAATCACTAGCTTAGTGTTCTGTGCTTAGAACATGGATCAATTCTTCTTCCAGGCTGTCTCATCTTCCTCAAATGGCTACATATTTATGCAATTTTGAGTAGAAAATAGTATTACACTAAATTATCTGTACAATTAGCTTCACAGACTGTGAAGGCAGGAACCCTCTCTGCCTTGTTCAACATAACATCCTGTATCTAACACTTTCTAGGCCACTCAATGTTTGCTTAATGAAAAAGTGGGTACAACAGTTTTAAGTTACATAAAGACAACAGTCATGTTTATCAAATCTGCATATGCACACTGCATGTTTGTCTACATATATGCATGTACATGTATGCACACATACTGTATATTCCCTAGCTATTTCTACTGAAAGGGCCAAGGAACAAAAAGTGCACCTAGTGTTCAGATGTTGACCTCTAACCCTATTCCCCACTAATTGGGACTGGGGTTCCTTGGAGAAATGCTGATTCCAAGGCTGGACAGGGTAGGTACAGATAAGCTTCATGCTATGCCAAAAACGAAGTACTCAAGAAAAATGGAGCTGGGACCGGTTTGGCTCAGTGGATAGAGCGTCGGCCTGCGGACTGAAAGGTCCCGGGTTCGATTCCGGGCAAGGGCATGTGCCTTGGTTGCGGGCACATCCCCGGTGGGGGGTGTGCAGGAGGCAGCTGATCGATGATTCTCTCTCATCGATGTTTCTGGCTCTCTATCTCTCTCTTCCTCTCTGTGAAAAATCAATAAAATATATATTTTTTTAAAAATGGAGGGAGGAAAGGGTGAAGAGGTGGAGCACAGAGGATTTTTTAGGGCAGCGAAACAACTCCGTATGATACCATATGGTGGATATGTCATTATACATTTGTTCAAACTCATAGAATGCACCCCACCAAGAGTGAACCCTAAGGTAAACTATGGACTTTGGACTATACATGTCAATGTAAGTCATCAGTTGTAACAAATGTATCACAATGTATAACTCTTACAGAGAATACTTGAGCTATGCATAAGTGGGGTTGGGGCATATGGGGAATCTCTCTTTCAGTTCAACTGCTGTGAGCTTAAAACTGCTCTAAAAATAGTCTACGATAGGAGTGGGGATGGGCTAGAGGAGGTAGATGGGGGGAAAAGGGGGTATATGTAATCCTTTCATACTAAAAACTAAAAAAAAAAAAAAAAAAAAAAAAGAAACCTGATAATTAATTAAAAAAATAAAAATGGTCTATCTGAAAAAGAAAAGGGGGTACATAACAAAACAATCACAAAGGAGCTCAAATCTGGGAATTTGAGCACAAAAATATCATTGGAAAAAGAATTCATCACACACACACACACACACACACACACACAGAAAAAACAAGGGTAAAGATAGGGAAGGTTCTTTAAAAAGCCAACAGAGTCCTAGAGTTGGAAACTCAGCATAATTCAACACAGACAGGATCACCAATGGATGCTAAAACTAGGAGAAACTTCGATAAAGAGTAGGATCTCTGCATGGTCTTAAAGTGATCTCTACAGACTGCTTATAAATTTCAAAGAAGGAAAAAAGCTGCAATTATACAGTAGAAAAATTAGAGGCCACTTTGGCAGGGTAATCAAAATTAAAATCACCAATGAGAAACACACTGTATACCCTCCAAATGTGATACATTGAGAAGGCCATAGCATGATTTCTACAGTATTTTGGCTAAAAATGTATTAACTTTAATCACATAGAAACATGAGACAAACCCAGAATGAGGAGTGTCCTATTTTAAAAACGGGGCTATATTTTTAACCCTTTGCACTCCGCTGTCCCCTCTCAGGGGACATCTGAATTCTAGCATATCACTCGGATGTCCCCTCTCAGGTGACATTGCAGTTTATTAGTGATTACGGGTAATTGAGTTAATTCAACGCACATTTCCGCCGTTAGCGTCGAGTAGCTGGTAGCCAATGTCCAGAATGGTTCGGAGTGCAAAGGGTTAATGTATCAGTATCATAAAAGACTAAAACAGACCAGGAAAATGCTGAAAGGAGGTTAAAGAGACATAACTATATGCAATACCCAATCCTAGGATAGATTCTATACCAAGGAGAAAAAAATGCTAAAAAGGCATTTTTTAGGTCAATTAAAAATTATAATACAAATGATAAGATAGAAATATTGTATTAATAAAGAACATTTTTTTCTAAAGGGGGACTTAAAAGAGACACAGAAAAAAAAAAAGTATTAACATTGATTTGACCACAGGTTATATAACAGAGTATCTCTTTCTTAGGAAACACTGAAATATTTAGAGATGATGGCCATAATTTTATAACTTAACCTTAAGAGGTTTGGGGAAGAGAGAAAGAGTGCATATATGTGTGGGTGTGGTATGCACAAGAGAAATATTGATTCATTTTATCATTCCCATAGATAAGTACATAATTATTCACTCATAACATTACACATGTGATAAAAAGTGGAAACATACCTGAATAGGAGATGGCTTTTCCCAGCCCATTTCAAAAATTCCCATCAGTAACTCCCGCTTTAAACAGTAATCTTCAAACTCATTTCCTTTTGTGGAGGTTACATCCTAGTCAACCAAGCAAAACAATAATAAAAGAATAAAGTACAACTGTGTTCTTTTGTTAGCTAGCATGCTTAAGCAAATTTGTCTGAGAAACTACTTCTTTATCTACCCCTTTTAAGATGTAAATATATGCAGATTAGCTGTCCTGATCTGTATTTCCAGGCCATTTAAAAACTGTGTTTGGAGAAAAGGCCACTCTGTGATCATATTCTTCTAAGGAACAGGTGGAACACTGTAAGAATCATGCTGTGAAATTAAAACCCCAGATATGAAATCAAACCCTCACTGCCTACAAACCCTCACTGCCTAGTCAAAATCAGGGCTTCTCAAGCTCAGCAATATGGACATTTGGGCCAGAAAATTCTCTGCTGTAAGGGGCTGTCTTGTAGCCTTTCCCTAACTGTGATAACCAGAAATATTTGTAGCTGTTGCTAAATATCTCTTGGTTAAAAATGCTGGGCTAAGAGAACTAGCCCTTTTCAACTTGCAGGGGAGCGGGCCTAAGCCATCAGTCGGCATCCTTAGCACTGCCGTTGAGGCGGGGAAGGCTCCCACCACCACTGCTGCGCTCGCCAGCTGTGTGTCTGGCTTCTGGCTGAGCAGCTCGCCTCTTGTGGGAGTGCACTAACCACCAGGAGACATATTCTACATTGTCTGCCCCCTGGTGGTCAGTGTACATCATAGTGACCAGTCACTCCTCCCTCAGGCCGAAACTGGTTCTCCGACATCCCTGAGGGTCTCAGATTGTGAGAGGGTGCAGGCCAAGCCGAAGGACCCCACTGGTGCACAATCAGAACTGGGAAGGGATATGGGAGGGCTCCAGGGTGTGTCCAGCCCATCTCACTCAGTCCCGATTGGCCAGATCCCAGCAGCAAGCTAACCTACCGGTTAGAGCATATGCTCCCTGGTGGTCAGTGCAGGTCATAGCAAGCAGTTGAATGGCCTTAGTATATCATTAGCATATTACGCTTTGACTGAACAGCCAACTGGACAACTGGATACTTAGCACATTAGTCTTTTATTATGTAGGATTAATTAGAGGCCCAGTGCACGAATTCATGCATGAACTGGGTCCAGCCCAATCGAGCCAGGGGGCAGGGATGTGGGAGGTCCGCCTGCTGGCCCGTCCCCTGGTCAAATTGCCAGTCAAGGGGACAATTTGCATATTAGCCTTTTATTATATAGGATTACTTCACTTTTAGAGTTTCCACACCATCTTAAGTTAAATTTTACAATCACTTACCGAAGTTTTGATTCTTAGATCCTTTGGAGGGAGTTTTAAAGTCTTTTTCCAGTCATCACCAGGTCTAGAGAGAATGTAGTAAAACTGAAGTATGAGAATTCATAGCATCATATTCTAATACAAAGATAATTCATCTCAATTACAATCCTATTAATAAAAGCCTATGCGGTCGACACCGAGCATCACCAGGAGGCTGCGTGTGCAGTGGGTGCACACGGGTAGATAGGAGCTTGACGCTGTGTGGGTGGCGTGGAGGCGGTTCTTGTGGCTCCACGAGGCACGTCCCGAGGTTCCGGCTTACCTTTTTGGGGCAACTGATTGCAGGGCTCCTGCACTGTGACAGGACACAGGCCAAGCTAGGCTTCCCCCTTTCCAGTGCACCATTTTCATGCACTGGGCCTCTAATTAAGTTATAAAAAGCAGAATAAGTTTAATATATTGCCATTTACTTAGGAACATAGTTAACAGCCCTGGCCTGTGTGGCTCTCACACACCAAAAGGTTCACCTGGTTGATTACCCATGGGAAGCAACAGATCAATGTCTCTCTTGTATCAATATTTCTTTCCTATCCTCCTCTCTAGAATCAATCTAAAAAAATCTAATATGTAAAGAATATGGTTAACAGAGATAAACATATTATGTATGTGTTTTAATTTAAGCTAGTTACCAATATTAAAAATTAGAAGATTTTGTGTAAATGTCCAGATTCTGGCTTTTCCTGTAAAACTGGAAGCTTTAGCAACATTGTTTCCAAACTTCTGCATGGCAATAGTTTGACAGAGCATAGTAACTGAGTTTAAAATCAAGCAGCTAACCCTTTAGAGGGCAAGTATCCTCTCATCTGGAACAGCCATCTGAGTTGGTAACTTCTGGATACTAGTTAAAACCAAGGACTCCAGCAGTGGCTCAGTGGTTGAGCATCCACCTATGAACCAGGAAGTCACGGTTTGATAACCAGTCAGGGAACATGCCTCGATGTGGGCTCAATTCCTAGCATATGGCGTGCAGGAGGCAGCCGATCAACGATTCTCTCTCATCATTGATATTTCTACCTCTCTCTTGAATTAAAACAAAACAAAACAAAACAAAACAAAACACCAGACTCCAGTTTCACCCCTGACTCTATCATTTATTTTTTGACCATGCAGCAGGTACTTTTCCAAGTTTCCATTCTCATATATACAACGAGTTAAGAATTATATCAGATAATTTACAGAAGGCAATTAGCACAGAGTTGGGTGTGGTCCCCAATGGGGGCAGCCTGTGGGGAGGGGCGGGGGAGAGGCAGAGACTGGACGGCCAATTGGTGATTCTTATCATTGATGTTTCTCTGTCTCTCTCCCTCTCCCTTCCTCTCTGAAATCAATAAAAATATTAAAAAGAAAAGAAAAACAAAAAAAACCAACTCCTTTAAAAAATGAACTCCATATGATCTGTTAATGAACATCTCTCTCAATCTTTGTTACCAGGTATGCTGTAAACCAGCGGCTGCCAACCTTTCAACCTGGCGAGCCACCGGCTGGCGACTGCTGCTCCAAAGGTTTCCTTAAACCAGTGGTCGCCAACCTTTCGGACCTCACAGACCACTGGTTGGCAACCACTACTTTAAACTATGAATACAGTTAAAAAACAAGAAAAATACAATTTTTAAAATCTCTTTTAGGCCAGACAAAAACCTCTACTATAAACCCAAAGCATCTAATAGGGGGGAAAAAATTGGCAATAAGGCAAACATGCTTTTCAACAGTGTTGCCTTTAAAATAAATAAGTTTTGCCCTGGATGGTTTGGCTCAGTGGCTAGAGCATCGGACTGCAGACTGAAGGGTCCTAGGTTCGATTCCGGTCAAGGGCACAGGCCTGGGTTGCAGGCTCGATCCTCAGTAAGGGGTGTGCAGGAGGCAGCTGATCAACGATTCTCTCTCATCATTGATGTTTGTATCTCTCCATCTCCCTTCCTCTCTAAAATCAATAAAAATAAGAAAATATATTTTAAAAAATAAGTTTTTTGCCCTGGCTGGTATTGTTCAGTGGTCAGTGCTTCACCCTGGGGAACCAAAGTGTCTCTGGTTTGATTCCCGGTCCAGGGCACATACTGATTTAGAAGTTCGCTCCCCATCTCTGGTGGGGGTGTGTACTGGAGGCAACCAATCAATTGATGTTTCTCTCTCTTCCCCCCCCCCCTCCCTCCTTTCCACTCTCTAATAGCAATATGGGGGTGGGGGGCAGAGAAGATATATAATATGTTTACATTGATTTCATTATAGCCACTCATAATCAGAGCTTCCAAAGCATTGGAAGTCTTGATTTAGAAAGATGAACACTTATTTTACTTAAAGCTAGGTTCTATATAATCAAAGACACTCTAAGAAAGGTACCTATTTGCTTCCACTTCCAAGGGTATTAAAGCCTTCTACCTCAACCTATAGCACAGCCAAGTTTCTAAGCACAAAAATATCAGCTGAACATCCTACTAGGCCACATGTCAAATTCAACAATGAATAAAAGTACAGAGGATACAATGCAAAATCTGTCCACAAGGAATTTAGAAACCAAACTACTAAAACAAGAAAGTAAGTGATAGCAGTAGTATTGAAGAGTCCTGTAATCCCCAGAAAACGGAAGTAAAGCCCACTGGTGTCTCAAATTAGAATAACATAGATTTATGTTCCTATTTTTAAGGAATAAAAATAGCCTAAATTTTGCTAGCCTATTCATAGTCTATCAAGACAAACTACAATTCAGAAAATATTCTAATTAAAGCATTCACCTTAAAAATAATAGAATATGCATTAATGATCTCCCAGTGACCATTTATAAGATATCCTGTTGTCTTATTATAAAAGCCATTTTTCTTTAGGAAGTGCTTCCGAAGCAGGAAAGTATCCAGATTGTTAACACAAAACATTTTAGTTCAGTGATCCTTTTCATCATCTTAGAAAATTTCTAGATGTTAAATCAATTACATGGCTAGATTCTTAACAAAGCCAAACCTCAAATGGGTCAAGTTTAAATGTTAATTTTCTATTAACAGAATCTTTAGAGCGATATTTACCATTCAAATAATGTATAGTGAACATTTAAAAAATGGCAGCCTACAATCTTCCAGATTTGAAAAAAAAATTCTGTAATCAGATGAGGCTCTTTTTAGTCAACTAGAGCAGTGGTCGGCAAACTCATTAGTCAGCAGAGCCAAATATCAACAGTACGATTGAAATTTCTTTTGAGAGCCAAAATTTTTAAACTTAAACTTCTTCTAATGCCACTTCTTAGAAATAAACTCGTCCAGGCCGTGGCATTTTGTGGAAAAGCCACACTCAAGGGGCCAAAGAGCCGCATGTGGCTTGAGAGCCGCAGTTTGCAGACCAAGAAACTAGGGGAATTGGGGCTATTCAAAGATGTGTTTCCCAGAGTTCAAAATCCTGAGATCCTATATTTTACGGTATGTTATTCTGTATGTGTGTGTAATAGGAGGAAGCTTATAAACCAAAAAATTTTAAGCTAAGTTGCAAAAACTGAAAAAAAAAAAAAAAGCTATGGATAAATTTTGAGTACATTTGGAGGTAAGAAGGCTGGGCAAGTCCTTACATTTGAAACTTGAAATTGACTTTAAATGTCATTTAAACTAGGACATGGTGCCGTTATACTAGGGAAAAATCATATTGACAAAAACAAGATGAATCTGAGCTAATTATGAAAGCCAGCGATGTTTAAAATATAACCTATACAAAATTAATATATATCTGTACCTATATTCATTACTTAATAAACCTGAATTATGACAGAAATACATTATTCTACTGCAAATACCTAATGGCCATAAAACAAAGTCATCTGTCCTCCACAATCAAAACAGTTAAAGAATACAAAGAGTAGTCATTAACAAAGTAATAAAAAGAAATCTCCTTGGTCCCCCAAGTATGTTTATTTCTTCTAACACTTACTTAATAGTGGTGGTCATACTCTGTGCCTGCTGCTGAGTGCCGTTATTGATTGTGTTGGTGTTTTTCAGTTGGTTCATCTGTTGCTGTGTCGGTGTGCCCCCTCCTCCGGGGCCACCACTGGGCTTCACAGGGCCCCTCAGCTGACCATTTTGACTGGACAGACCCATTATAACAGGGTTCTCTGTTCTGGCCGTGCTCATGCTGTATTAAATGTACAGATGTCTCTTCCAAACTTCAAAACTTTTGAAAATCAGTAGAGAAACTGTAATACAGTTTATTAGGCTCTCCAAAATGAAGAGATAAATATAAGTCTTGCTCAATATTGAGTCCTTTATTGCAATGCAGGCAAGCACCTGTAAGTCTGTGAACAGTAAGCAGCAGTAACTTGCTCTCATGCACCGAATCAACTTTTTATTTTTTAAAGGTTCTCTAACGAAGTTTGGTTATATAACTGAATTCACTCACTTCAATCTGAAACAAAGAAAAAGTTAAGTTAGCAAACACACGAAGGTTAGAAAAAACTGTTTCCCCTAACACTATTTTTAAATTAAAAAATTAAGAATACAACTGCACTTAGATCACATCATTAGCCAGGCTAATGGAGACAAAAAGATGGCCTGTACACAAAATCAAACCCACAATGAAATCAATCTCAAACTTTTAAATTGTCAGCTCAAAACAACCCAGAGAATTATTAGTATAAAGATACTGTAATTAGCAATAGTTCTCAAGTGACAATATCTTCTCTTCCTCCCTGAATTTTCTAAGTCAATGATTCATTCCACTTAATTGCGTCACAACTCAAAAAAGTACCTCACAGCTTAAGAGTAAATCTACATATGAACAAGGCAAGACAAATTTCTATTTCTGACAGCAACTGAGAGTCCTCCAAGAGTTAGATAAGCTTTTGACTTAACTTATGCTTTTAGAAATATAAAACCCATTTGTAACCTTATGAATTTCAAGTGCAAAAATTAAACTTTATGAAGAAAAATGCATTTTCCTTTTTTCCTTAAGTTCTTGTCCTTTAAAACAGTAACTGAAGCAGGAATATAGACATGCCTACATGTCACAATATTTTGCTTGAAAACAGCCAGGAATTGGAATACTAAAAAAAACTGTTAGCTGGGCTGGTGTGGCTGTTGAGAAGAGGCATCAGAACCCAGAAGAAAGTCAAGATCATTCCTGGCCCAGGCACATGCCAGCGTTGGGGCTGATCCCCAGTAGGGGGCGTGCTGGAGGCAGCCTTTTGATGGTTTTCATCGATGTTTCTCTCCCTCTCCCTTCCTCTCTGAAATCTATTTTATATATATTAAGGTGGTTAACTTCCTCCATTTTTAATTATTCCCAAAACCGAATTCATATATTAAAATGAAGTGAATAAAAAATTTACAAAGGCCAGACAGGAAATAAATGCCTACTCTGTTGGGTTTGTTCCTTTTTACCTCCTTACCCAAAATACACAAGCTTATTAATTAGCGTTTTTGTCGTACTCCACGGCTTCTCAAACAAATTTTTTTCTAAAATACTTATGCCTTAAAAAAAGAAAGTTGCTCACAAGCAAATCCTGATGATCTCAAAGACAAAGAGATATTATTTCAAAGTCTCCCAAAATCTGATTAACTTCTTAGGCAGATCGTGGTTAACAGTTACCTAGTTTCAAGGCAGTGAATGGTATCCTATAGTGACAGGTTTATATTATGATCAACAACATCAGTAGTTCGCACCAGAAAAGTTGTTTGCTAAGTAGGAAAGGATGAAGAGGGCAACCTCCGAAGATTAAGTGTCATTACCATCCATCTTGTGCGGAGACAGATTCAGATCCCCAGAGTGAGACTGCGTCCCTCTTAATTAAAAACGAAACTGCACTGCAGCAGTCTCCGAAAGGGAAACGTTCCTCCCACCCCTTCCCAACTCAGACGTGCAACTTCTATCTCTACGTTTTTAAAAGTTGGAAGGAAACGCAGCCCCGCGGGGAGGACCCCACGCCGAGTGGATCACAGCGTTTCCCCGGCTCAGGGAGCAATTGACAGTTTTCCTCCCGAACAGGCCGTCACCCCGCGGGCCTGGGGCTGGGCTGGCTTTCCGGTGAAGAGGAAAAGGGGGAGGAGAAAGGGGAGTAAGCAGCAATAAGGAAAGGCACAAGCCGAGGGTTTGAGCCTCGTAATCGTAAGGTAATAATTCAATTATTTCTTGCTCTCCCCGCCCTCTCCCCTCTCCTTCCTCCCCCCAAAAAAGACACCCTCAGTCCAAGTCCGCTCCGCGATCATAAACACCCAGGGCCGGGCCTGCAATCCTATCTGCGCAACAAGAGCAGGGACCGAACCCGCTCCGAGAGGAGGAAACAATATGGAGTTTCCTCTTAAGGCCCCACCGAGGAGCCCTGACCCCAAAGCCCTCCTGTCCTGTCCTCCACGGCCCGGGCGCCAGCGACACCCTCTCGCCACCGGCCCAGTTCCGCCCAGCAGCTGCGCCCCTGGCCCGGGCCCTCGGCGGCTGCCCCCGCCGCCCCCGAGGCTGCCTCGTACCCGGTCACCGCCATCGTGGCCCGGGGTCCTGGCGCCCAGCCCTCATTCCCGCTTCTAGAAAGGTCCTCCGAGCCCGAGGCCCGCTCTCCGCGGACCCCGCCGCGCACCGCATCCGTATCCGACACCTCAGCGCCCGACCCCAGCTGCCGCCGGCCTTCCTCCCCGGCCCGTCCAGGCCTCAGCGCCGCCTCTGGGCGCCCACGCTGTCGTCGGGCTCCCCGCAGCCCCGACTGCGCCGCCGACCCCACCCCCGCCCTTCGCCCAACTCCCCGGCTTGGCCCGAGCCCTACCGCCGAGGCCGCTCCGCTCGCACCCTCGGCCCTTTATTGTTGACTCGAAGCTCCCAAAATGGCGGCGCTCCTTCCTCCTCGGCTCCAGCGCCGCCCCGCCCGCCGCGCCGCCGGCCCCGCCCCGCGCCGCCCGCGCCGCCCCGCCCCGCGCCGCGCCGCCCGCCCTGCCCCGCCCCGCCCCGCGCGCCCCTCCCCGCGCGCCCCGCCCCGCGCCGCCCGCCCCGCCCCCTAAGCCCCGGGGCCCGCCCCCGGCCCTGTCGGCCCGGCCTAGTCTCAGCCCCGCCCCGCACCCCCATCCCGTCCCCCGGCCGGGCCCCGCGTGGTAACCGCGCCCCAGGTCTGCGGCCCTAATCCCGCCGCTGCCCGCACTCAGGCCGCCGCCGAAGTCGCCGCTGGCCACTGGCCGCCTCCCTCCGGCGCCCGCCCTGGCCCGCCGCTCCCGCCTTACTCCTGTGCCCCCCGCGTGGCGGCGGCTCTCCTCCGCGCAAGATGGCGAGCTCTCCGGCGGCGCCGCCGGCTCCCGGCTCCCGGTTCCCCAGCTCCCGGCAGGGGTCGGCGGGGCAGGATGCCCTGCGGAGGCCGCGGACGCCGGGCTGGGAGAGGGGCGGCTGCCCCCCAGCGGGAGGGAGGGCTGGGGGCCCGGTGGTGACCGAGGCCGACCTGCACCTCTTGCCCCGGGAGGCGCCTGAGCCGGGCCTCCCAGGCCACAGCTCGGGACGGAGAGCGGACGCGGCCCGCGGCGCCGGAGAAAGGCCGGGAAGCTGCGGGGAGCCCCCCGCCCTGGGAATAGGTTCTGAAGGACAAGGGGTTCCGGCCGGCCTGACCCTCACCGGAAAGGTATTGTGTGTCCCCAGAAACACTTTTAATGTCCCGTCAATCCTTAACAGCAACAGGAAAGCGAGGTTGTTCCAGGTGAAACAAAATGGAAGCTGGAAAGCTAGGTCGGGGGAAGAAAAGCCCACGACAGTGCCCTCACCCAGCTGAGACCCGATGCCCAGGACAGCGGCCAGGCCCGGTGAGGGCACAGCTCTGTCCACATCTGCAGTGCCCAGCAGGGGAAGTGAATCCACCGCCCCTGCAGGAATCAGTCTGATGGGTCTCCATGGTCTGACCACCAGCTTCCCTCATTTTTGCTGCTGCTTCCAACCCATCAGATAAAGTTAAACATGTTCCCCAGATCAGTCACACAAGGTGTCCCTCGAATAGCCCGCCTCCAGCTTATCCTCCAACACCCTCCAACCGTTCTCTGTTGGTCTTTAGCACACAACCAATGGGAAGGTGATAAAGAGGTGTGCAAAGGCTGTTGTTGAGATAAAAAAGGTTCCCCTTACAGTTTTTAAAATGCTTCATTTGTAGCATGTCATCTGCCACCCAGATTTTAAAACACTCCTGTGAGGAAATAACCTGCACCTTGTGCCCATCCTGGAGAGGGGGGGCGAATGGCTGCCTAATAAAACGTTAAAAAGGGAGGCCTTTGTTTGCCTCCTGATTTCCCAGGAGCATGAATGTTAGGGGAGAGGAGCCTGAAGGTCTGAAACAGCCTGTGGGGTTTCTCCCTGCACAGCCCAGAACAGGCCAGGGGGCGGAAAGGGGTTTGCCTCATAAATGAACTTACCTTCCTCGGGGACTTGGCTGAAGTCCTGACAGAAAAACAAACGTGAGGAAGCAGCCAGAAGTAAGATATGAAATAACTGCCCATTTTTACCTGGGAATCCTGTCACGGCTAAAACATAAACTTGACTAGAGGCCTGGTGCTCGAGAATATGTGCACTGGATGGAGGGGGTGTCCCCTCAGCCAGGCCTGCACCCTCTCGCAGTGCGGAGCCCTCGGGGATGTCTGCCTGCCAGCTTAGGTGGCTCCAGTCAGACATTGTCTGGCCGCCCGGGAGCCCCTGGGGGACGTCCACTGGGGCTCGGCTGCAGCCGGACAGCCTTAGCACTGCCCCGGGGACAGGAGAGGCCGCCGCTGCGCTGTGCTCAGAGCTGTGAGCCTGGCTTGTGGCTGAGTGGCGCTCCACCCCCCTGTGGAAGCGTACTGACCACCGGGGGCAGCTCCTGCGTTGAGTGTCCGCCCCCTGGTGGTCAGTGTGTGTCATAGTGATGTCGTTCAGGTCGTTGTTAGGGTCAATTTGCATATTACCCTTTTATTATATAGGATGTCAGCTCTTTTCAGTTTCCTGATGAGAAGCATAGACAGTATAAAATTAAGCTATGAACCCCTTGGGTTAGCAGAGTTCAATTTAAGTAGTCAATAGGTCTGATTCAACTATTATATATCAATACTTCAAGAACCGTAGAAAATATGACAGTAGGAATATAGATGAATGATAATATAGTAAAATTAATGTTTTAAAAATACTATGTAAATCCAATCCTTTGGCCTTTTACTTAATATTGAATATAATTGTTTGGGTGGTCTGTGGTAAATATGGTTTCTGGAGGGTGTTCTATACCCAGTGAGTCATTTATTTATTTTAACATAATGCTTCCCAAGATGCATTAGCTGTGTTTATTTGATTTGTAGTCACTCTCACTTTCCTCCTACCCTACAATTTGAATTTTGAAGTATAAAGCTGTTAGCTAAAATGTTAGGCCTGGATTGTTAGCTGGCTTCTAAAGAATCTGTCTGTAGAAAAGATGTTTAAAAAATAAAAGATTCAAAAATAAAATTGAGGTTTTCAGTATCTTTATTTATAACACAATAGGATTCATTTTTTTTGAAAGAATGAGATGCAACTAAAAAATGCTACTTGGGCCGGGACCTGTTTGGCTCAATGGATAGAGCGTTGGCCTGTGGACTGAAAGGTCCCAGGTTCGATTTCGGTCAAGGGCATGTACCTTAGTTGTGGGCACATCCCCAGTGGGGGGGTGTGCAAGAGGCAGCTGGTCGATGTTTCTCTCTCATCGACGTTTCTAACTCTCTGTCCCTCTCAATTCCTCTCTGTGTAAAATCAATAAAATATATTTTTAAAAAATGCTACTTGGAATTCAGTTACAATAATGGGTCCTCCTAGCAAGCATTATTTGCCAGTCTCACATCCTATTTACCAAAAATAACCAGAAAAAAAAATTACATTAATTTTAAATCACTTGATTTTATTTTAACTTCAATTGAAAATATTTAGAATCTAGAATTCCAAGTAATTTGAAGTTGGATATATTTATAGCGAAGATACTATTTAAAAATATATTTTTTATTTATTTCAGAGAGGAAGGGAGAGGGAGAGAGAAACATCATAGATGAGAGACAGGGGTCAAGTCTGTAACCCGCACATGTGCCCTTGACCAGAATCGAACCTGGGACCCTTCAATCAGCAGGCTGACACTCTATTCACTGAGCCAAACAGGCTAGGGCTATGATACTCTTAAAACTCAAAAAATTTTTTCACATTCTAGATCACAGGATACATAACATTTATTTCATACATTTTCCTCTTCATTTTCTTAAATATATATCTTTTTACTTTTTTATTTTTATTTATTTATTTCTAAATATATATATTATTGATTGCAGAGAGGAAGGGAGAGGGAGAGAGAAACATCAATAATGAGAGAGAATCATTGATCGGCTCCTCCTACGTGTCCTCTCCTGGAGACAAAGCCCCACAACTCGGGTATGTGTCCTTGACTGGAATTAAACCTGGGACCCTTCAGTCCACAAACTGACACTCTATCCACTGAGCCCAACCAGCTAGGGCCTCAAATGTTTTTAACATGCTAACATGGATTTCACACCTTTCACTTTCTATAAAACTTTTTTAAGGAAACATAATAGCTTTTTTTTTTCAAACTGAATAAGCAAATATGTTCATTAAGAAAAAAGATTTGCCTATACCATCCTATGTAATAAAAGCCTAATATACAAATTGACCAAACAGTAGAATGACCGGTGCTATAACACGCACTGACCACCAGGGGGCAGGCACTCAACACAGGAGCTATCCCCAAGTCCCAGGCCAGACAAGGCTGGTGCCAGCAGGCCTCTAGGATCTATACTAACAAAAGAGTAATATGCTAATAAGACCAGGTGACCAGACATCTTCCGGATGTCCAATTTCCTTCCGGACAAAGCCATGGTAGTGGGTGCCAAAGCAGAGGCAGTGGGGCCTAAACTGGCAACTGGACATCCCCCAAGGGGTCCCAAATTGGAGAGGGTCGGCTGAGGGACCCCCTCTCCCCTGCCCGTGCACGAATTTTGTGCACCAGGCATCTAGTCCTCAATAAAAGGATTTACCCCTGGCTGAGCTTCATAGGTCAGCATTTCCCTCTTTCATGACTTGCATTATAATATCTGATTTCCAAAACAAGTTTAAGCAGGTAAAGCTCTTTCCCAAATGTGCTTTAGCAACATCTGGTAGTCACTGAGATTAAAGGCTAATAAGCCCAAGGAGCCAAATACCATTTCTCTTTGGTTTCATAGGTAAAAAATTGCCTGCTGAAGGCTGTGTACAGGTCTTCTTAGAGAGGTACAAGTACTAAACTGAAGCTAATGCGAACTGAGCAATGTTTTTAATCACTGGGAGGCCTCACCAGGCACGTTTTGTTGGAATGAATGTTCCATTCTGCCTGGCTGGAGTTGTTCGGCTGTTGCACACTGACCTACCAGCCAGGAGGCCTCTGTTTGACTAATAGTCAGAGTACATGCCGGGTTGCGGGCTTGATCCCCAGTAGGAAACGCGCAGGAGGCAGCCAATCAGTGGTTATCATCATTGAAGTTTCTATCTCCCTCTCCCTTCCTCCCTTCCTCTCTGAAATCAATAAAAATATATTGATTCCACTTCTGTAGTTAAACAAGTTGAAAAGTAGGAAAGCAATATTACAAGCAGGGAGAGTTAAAATGGGTTAAACACATATCCCCCAAGCTACCAGGTTAATTTGCAGAATTGATATTCCTTTGACAGATAACATTTCTCCATTCCTAAGGCACCACAACCAGCTAGCTCAGTTCACCAGGTGGCTTTTGGCCTCATAAAGTCCCAGCATTGTTTGGCTTCTGGTAACCACCCAGAGAATTCTAGCTTTTCATTTTTCCTCTTCAGTTTTACTAAAATTACTGCTCACCAGCAATTTTAACTTATTAATTTAAAAATAATGTGTGGCCCTGGCTGGTTTGGCTCAGTGGCTAG